CTCTCTCTACCACCAGCTTACGAATGTCCTTCCTTAAGAACAAAACAAAACAAAAAAGACTCTGCCTTGGGCCACTGGGTGGCTCAGTTGTTAAGTGTCTGCTCAGGTCCTGATCCCGGGGTCCTGGGATTTAGCCCGCATCAGGCTTCCTGTTCAGCAGGAAGCCTGCTTCTCCCTCTCCCACAGCCCCTGATTGTTTTCTCTCTCTCACTGTCTCTCTCTCTGTGTGTCTGTCAATTAAATAAATAAATAACAATCTCTTTTTAAAAAAAAAGGACTCTGTCTTAATTCATTCAGGGTGCTATAACAGAATAGCAGAGACTAGATGGCTTATAAATGGCAGACATTTATTTCTCACAGTTCTGGGGGCTGGGAAGTCCAAGATCAAGGCTCTAGCAAATTTGTCATCTTGTGAGACCCACTTCTTGGTTCATAGATGGCTGTCTTCTCATTCTGTCCTCATGTGGCAGAAGGGACTAGGGACTCTGGGTTGATTTTATAGGGGCATAATAGTCCTATTCATGAGGGTTCTACCTTTATTATCAATCACCTCCCAAGGGTGTCCTCTCCTAATACCATCACATTGGCCGCTAGGTTCTACATAGGAATTTAGGGAACATGATCATTCAGTCCATCAAGACTCTTGCCTGCGTTTAGCCATGATATTTTTGCAGTTGTTGTTCCTGTTCCACTTCTCTTACTGCTGAACTTCCCGATAATGGCATCAACACTCATTGTTTCCACATCACTTGCTGCTCTCTCATCAACCTCCTGCAATCTGATTTCACCCTCACCGATCTGTTGAAACTGTTCTTTGAAAGATCAAAATGATCTAATTGTCAAATCCACAAATCAATTCTTATCCTCCTTGACTCCTTGCAGCACTGCCAACATTGTGTCTGATTTAGAACTCCTCTTTTGATTTCCCAGTGTTGTGTTCTGCTGATTTTTTCCTTATATCTCTGTCTCTGACAGAGACAGACTTGTTTCCTTCTCTGGATATTTTCCTCCTTTTGTCCCCAAAGTACAGACTTTTGAAAAATGAAATATTCCATGTATGTGAAACTGCAAAAACAGTACTATAAAGAATATCTAAGCACCCATCACCCAGTCTAAGAGAGAAAATTACAGATGTAACTGAAATTTCCTATGCGTGCCTTCTTGATTCTTTTCTCCCTTTCTCCCCCGAGAGATAACCAGTGTTCTGACTTTGGGATTATCAGTCTCATGTAGGCCTTATACTGTTACTAAAAATGTTTGTTATGATACCCTCTTGTCCAGTTGAGCAGTGTGTGCTTGAGCAAGTCTAGGGAGGCACTGTTTACAAAGGTTGTGATAAAGTGCTCCTCAAAATTGTGCAGTGTGCAACCTGCACAGCCCTCACTGTTTTGCCCGTTAGGGATTTTTTAATAAATGGTACTATACTGAATGTATGTATGCATGTAACTTGCTTCTTTCTCTAAACATCATTGCAAAACTGGGGAAGGTGGTACAGTCTACAAGACCATCCTCACTTCAGACAACAGTTGCAAGTTCTGGTGTTCCCAGAGCTACTCTCACATTTGATAATTTACTAAAACATTCCCTGAATACACTGAGAGCTGCTATACTCACATTTATAGCTTGCCATAGGGAAAGGGTACAGATTAAAGTCAGCCAAGGAAAGAGATGTGTACAGCAGAGTCCAGGAAACTACCACACATGGAGCTTCCAGTTTTCATCTCCCTGTGGAATCATGGACAGCTTTACTTACTTAGCAACAGTGTGTGACAGATGCATGGAGTATTACCTACCTGCAGAGCTCACCCAAGCCTTTGGTATCTGAGTTTTTATTAGGGCTCCATGGCTGACTACCCATATGGCTTACCTCTAGTCTCCAGCTCTTCTGGAAGTAAAGTAGATACTGGGTAGCCCAAACTCCTACCATAAATCACCCTGTTGGGGGGTCTGATGACCAAAGCCCCCCGCAAAGAAAAACATACCAGGTATGACATTCAAGAGCCTTGAGATCAGCCCCCACTAGCCAGGGGCAAAGGCCAGATGTGTCTTTGGGTAAAGTTAATTCTTCCCTATATATTATGTTTGAGAGATTCATTATATTGTTGCAGGAAGCTAACGTTTGCCTATTTTCCTCCTAAAACATATTTGGGGTAGTTTCCAAGTTCATGCTATGAACATGTGAGTATATATATCCTTGTGTACATATGTAAGTTTCTTTGGGGTAAGTATATATAACTAAGGAGGAGATTGCTGGGCTGTGGGGTATATGCTTCTTCAAATTTCCTAGACAATACAAAACTGTTTTCCAAAGTGGACATACCAGTTTATTTTCCCAGTGTATGAAAGTTGCAACTGCTCTATGACCTCACCACAATTGCTCTTGTTGGAATTTTTTTTTTTTAAATTTTCTTGATGGGCATGTAATGATATCTCATGGTTTTAATTTGGGTGTCCCTGATTACTAGTGAGTTTGAGCTGCTTGTTTTTAAGAGAAAGAAAGTAGTTTTATTATTGAGTAAGATTAAACCAGAATGTGATGCCCATCACAGATAATCCACTAAGAGATTGTAAAAACAGAAGGAAATCTCACCCCTTTCATATAGCTAAGGGAATACAACGCATTACATTCATACTTTCATGATAAAATCACTAATTTCCTTGTAACTTTATGACTGGTGTGGAGGTAGGTTTTGCAATTTGGACCCAGTGACAGTTGACAGATTTACAAATGCTGTGAGGGGACAGTACCACTCCCTTTGAAGTTCCTGCCTTAGAATGATATTGCTGGGTAAATCATGAGCTCACCTGCAAGTGCACTAGACCAGTGGCTCTCCAGCTGGTCCTGCCGGCATACAGATCCAACCACCATGAATTTGTGCTGCAACTGTTCATCATCTCTTCACACATGAGCTGCTTTTCATAGTATCATTGGCCATTGTGTTTCTTTATCTGAGAATTGCTTGTTCATATTGTTTGCTCATTTTTCATTAGAGTTGTTTGTCTTTTTCCTTTATCATTTGTGTGAGTCTTTTGCTATTGTGATATTATGGGCACTACAGTTTCATAGTTATATGGTTGCAAGTGCATTTGCCCAGTCTGTCTTTTTATTTTTGGTTTGTGATTTTTGTGTTTTGTGTGAGAATCACAAATTCCTGTGGTCAATATACTCTAAATTTTTTAAATATTTGGTTTTTCAAATTCAAGTTTTTACCAAATAGAACTTATTTTTATTTATAACATGAGGTTGGAATATGTTTTTATTTTGCTCCATATGGAAAATCAGTTGTATTAGCATGATTTTTTTTTATCTTTTACCTAATGACCTGTGATTCTATGATGACCTATATAGTTCACATATTAAGCTTCTAGATATGCATGGGTCAGTTTCATGGTCCTGTTTTGTTCTATTTGTCTTTTATTTATCTCTGGCCAATATCATCTTGTCTTAATTACCAAGGATGGATAATAAATATTGATGTTAGGACAACTCCCTCAATCTTTTCTTTTTTAAAAATTTCATATTCGGGGCACCTGGGTGGCTCAGTGGGTTAAAGCCTCTGCCTTCAGCTCGGGTCATGATCCCAGGGTCCTGGGATGGAGCCCCACATCCCTGCTCGGCGGGGATCCTGCTTCCCCCTCTCTCTCTGCCTGCTTCTCTGCCTACTTGTGATCTCTGTCTGTCAAATAAATAAATAAAATCTTTAAAAAAAAAATAAAAATAAAAAACAAAATAAAAATTTAAAAAATAAAAATTTCATATTCATTTTTGATCTTTTGTTTTCCCATATATATTTTAAAAATTATATTGTCAAACTCATGAAGGTTTCTGGATTTTTAGTTGAATTAATATTGGATTAATAAATTTTAGGAAAACATATATTTATAATATACAGTCTTTTAATCCATGAACATGGGGATATCTATAATATCTTTTAATATTTAAAAATTTTTCCTCCAAAAGACAAATACCATAAAATTTCACTCTTTTGTGGAATATAGAAAACAAATCAGATGAACATGTGGGAAGGGAAAAAAAAAGAGAGAGAAGGGCAGGGGAAGGCAAACCACAAGAGACTCTTAACTATAGAGAACAAACTGCGGGTTGCTGGTGGGGTGGTGGGTTAGGATGGGCTAACTGGGTGATGGGTATGAGGAGGGCACTTGTGATGAGCACTGGGTGTTATATGTAAGTAATGAACCACTAAATTCTACTCCTGAAACCAATATTACATTATTAACTAACTAGAATTTAAATAAAACTTGGTAGAAAAAATCACTAATTCAAAAGGATTTTTAAGAAATGATGCCAGTAGATTTTCTTGATGCAGCGTTGTCACAAACTTCCAATTTGTTAAAAAACAAAACAAAAAAACAGCATCTGTGAAGCTCAATAAAAAAGGGTATGTTTGTATTTGTGTGTGGATGTTTGAAGGACAATTCTTCATGTATTATGAAGAAGGTAATTTATAGATTACCTTTTGTAAAATTTGCAGTAATCAATAAAGGCAAGATAAGAAAAAAAAATTTTCTCCATAACAGTCTCTGCATATTTGGATTGGATTTAGTCCTCATTATCATATATATGCTATGAAATATAGATGATATGTGCATATGATATATATGGTACATATATAAATATTTTTTGCTGCTGTCATAATGACATCTTTTGCAAAAATACATTTTGCCTATGGATGTTTAAAAATGCAATTCATTTTTATATATTGATCCTATATTCTGCAAATTTACAGAAAATTATTATTATTATTATTGATTTGTTAACTTTCAATAACTTTACAATAGACCACTTTACCTGAAAATAATGTGTTTTGTTCTTTACAGTCCTTTTATTTCACTTTCTTGTCTTGCTCTACTGGCTCAGACCTCTAGGGAAATGTTGAATAGAAATGGTATTAGAGGGTATTTTTTCTACTTTCTGATTTTGAAATGAATATTTTTCTAATGATATGCCAGCGAGAATGTTTGCTGTAGATTTTGGTAGATATTCTTCATCATGGTAAGAAATTTCTATTCCTAGTTTGCTGAGTTTTCTTTTTTAGTATAGTGAATGGATGTTGAATTCTATTAGCAATAATCGCACCTTGGATAAACCTCATTGGCTACGATACTGCCACTGCGCAAAGCTTGGATGTTGAATTCTATCAAAGTTTTTTTTCCTACATTTATTGAAACGACCGTTTGTTTTTTCCTTATTTTAATTGGCAATATGTAAATTAAACTAATAGAATTCCTGTTGTTAAACCATCCTCAACTCCTTGAATTAGTGTTTAAAAACTTTTTTTTATGTAAGTGTAGTTGACACACCATATTACATTAGTTTCAGGTGTACAACAGTGATTTGACAAATTTACACGTACATTATGCCATGCTTGTCACAAATGTAGCTGCCATCTGTCATCAGACAATTCTGTTATAATATCATTGATTATATTTCTTAGGCTGTGCCTTCTATTCCCATGGCTTGTTCATTCCATAATTGGAAACCTATATCTTCCACTTCCCTGCACCCATTTTGCCCATCCCCCACTCCCTCCCTCTGGTAACCATCAGTTTGTTCTCTGTATTTATATGTCTGATTCTGGTTTTTGTTGGGTTATTTATATTTTTTAAGAGTGAAATCATATATAATATATAATCATATATAATCAAATATATATTTTATGAGTGAAATCATATGGTATTTGTCTTTCTCAGTCTGACCTGTTTCATTTAGCATAATACCCTTTAGTTTAGGTTCATCCATGTTTTTGCAAATGGCACAATCTTGTCCTTTTTTAATGACTATGCAGTATTCCTGTGTGTGTGTATGTGTGTGTATGTGTATAGAACATCTTCCTTACCCATTTATCAATCATTGAACACTTAGGTTGCTTCCATATCTTGCCTACTGTAAATAATAGTGCCATATACATAGGGGTGCATATATTTTCTTCAAATTAGTGTTTTTTGTTTTCTTTGGGTAAATACCTAGTAGTGGAGTGACTGGATCTATGTTAGATCTATTTTTTAATTTTTTGAGGAAACTCCACAGTGTTTTCCACAGTGGCTGCACCAGTTTGCATTCCCACCAACAGTGGACAAAGATTCTATTTTCTTCACATCCTTGCCAACACTTGTTATTTCTTGTCTCTTTTATTTTAGACATCCTTGAATAAATCTTAATTGATCATGATGTTCTATTCAGCTATATGTTTGCCTTTATCCATACACACATTTTTTTAAAAGATTTATTTATTTTAGAAAAAGAGAGCACAAGTGAGAGGGGCAGAGGGAGAGAGAACCTCAAATAGACTCCGTGCTCAGCATGGAACCCAACACAAGGCTCAATCTCATGACCCTGAGATCCCCACCTGAACCGAAACCAAGTGTCTGATGCTTAACTAACTGCACAACCCAGGTGCCCCACACAGACATTGTTAAATACAATTTGCTAATATTATATTTAGAGTTTTCAGGTTTCTTTCATTGTCTTTTGATTTTCTTTCTTGTTTCTTTTTTTCCCCATATTCCAAAGAGAGATTGGCAGTGAGAGCGTTTTGTCTTCCGCTCTTACCTCTCTCACCAGATGAATCACAGATCACTATTTCCAGCCCTGACATTTCTCTGCAGCTCCAGACCACACATAGTCACCTGAATAGTTCATTTGAACTTGATCAAAAATCATCTTATACAAATGCCTCCCTTTTCTAACTCTCTTAACCTAAAAATGACCTTTGATTCCTCCTTTTTATTATATCCAAGAGGTTCAGTGGTCTGTTAGTTTTGTCATGGGATATATTTTTACTCATTCTCTTTATTTCCATTTTGATTTTCATAATCCAAGTCCTAATTACTGCTTGCCTTAGCTTATTATAAGAACTTTCTTTTTTTTTTTCCTTAAGAACTTTCTCATTAGTCTTTCTCCCTGTAGATTTGATTCCCCACCCCCACTTTCCCATTCTAATCTATAGACTGTGCCAGCTAATCTTTGAATTTTTAATTTTATCAGTCTCCAGGGCATGCTGAGGCTCTTGTTTACTTATTTTTTTTAAGATTTTATTTATTTGTTTGACAGACAGACATCACAAGTAGGCAGAGAGACAGGCAGAAAAGGGAGAGGGAAGCAGGCTCCCTGCTGAGCAGAGAGCCTGATGTGGGGCTCCATCCTAGGACCCTGGGATCATGACCTGAGCCAAAGGCAGAGGCTTTAACCCACTGAGCCACCCAGGCGCCCCGAGGCTCTTGTTTATATGATTCTCAAGCGCTTCCTGTTTTAGACTTGGCATGTCACTAGTTGCACTGCCCATCAGCTGCCTTCAGATCCTGTTCTTCTGCCATGATACTTGTCCCTAACATGTCCTGGCATTTCCAACCTCCAGACTTTTCCAACATTGTCCTTACAATATCTCTGACTCAAAATCCTAAATCATCATAGCACATAGCTAGTGTTTACTGAGCACTGTTTATGTTGCAGCTAATGAGCTAGCTGTTTGCTATATATCTCCTTTAGTATTACCACATTCCTCTGATGGTAAATATTGCTACATTTCCTGAATGTTAATATATTTTTGGCACTGTTCTACATCATTTTGTTTAATCCTCAAAACAACCCTATCAAATGAGTGCTCTTATTATCCTTATTTTACAAATGTAAGTTGCTCATGGCTATGCATCTAGTAAGTGGCAGATCTAAGACTTGAGCACAGGTGGTCAGTTTCTAGAGACTTCATTCCTTGCCATTACAGGTGAAGGGACCAAGGCTAGAAAAGCTGGAATAAGTTGTCCACCTGTGCCAGAGCTTTAGGTGCATTGATTAATGACTGTTTCTCTTACTCTCTTATTTCCTTTTCGAGACTTTCACTTCCCTAGCTCCTCCCATATTTCATGTGATTCCTCTACTAAATCCTTCATACCCATAATACTGTTCTCTGCTTTCTTAATTGAACCCTGACACACTCACAGTACTTTTCAGGTTACACATAATCTTCATAGACATGATCTCATTTACTCCAAAGCTTTCCTAGGACTCAAATTATTATTATGTTTTCTTTATGAGTCTATCCACACTAATTCTAAACCTCTTAAGAGTGAGGATGGTGAAAGATGAGAGAAAATGCTCTTTCTATGGTGCCCTCAGAACTTTTAAGTAAGAAAATAGATACAAAATATTGGAGTCACAGTTCATGAGTTTGCCAGATGAAAGTAATTCTGAATTTCCAGATGCTTTTTCAAGAAAGTGAAGGTTTGCAAGTCTAGAGGACAGCTCCTGGAGAGTAAAAATAAATTCTGTTACTTTCTGGGAGAGTTTTATTTCCTCCATATGTTTATACATTTTTCTTTTTCTTATGTCTGTGATTCATTGCTGGCTCAAGCCTCATCTGTGAGTGATGCTGGGGAGATTGATGGCTGGGAGGGCTGCAGGAGTGGTGAGACCATTGCTGCCGTGATGTGACACAATTCTTGGCATTTACACAAAGATGGAGAGTTCAGACAGCCACAGAGTAACGAAAATAGCTCAGGGAACCCTGACTTTCACCAGGAAATCACTTGATTTTCAGTGAGGCCAGGAGATCACACACACATAAAAGATTGGTAGCAGTTTTATAACAATTTCAGAATATGAGCAAACACTTGTCTATGAACAAAAGCTTTCACTACCAATAGTGAGGATCTTAGCCCTTGATCACACAAAAGATCAGGTTTTCTCCTGTTTGCTTTCTCTTTCTTTCTGCTTTTATGCACCTCGACTAAAAGGATTGGGTCTTCCATGGTATTAAACCTCCTGAGTTCTGCCTCAAATGCGCTTCCCAGTGTATTGCACAAGTAATAGAAAGGAGAGGCAAGCATCCTAAGCATTGGGCTAACTTGTTTTAGGGTGTGGACTCAAGGGTAATATGTGAGTGGTTATGAGGGGTGTTGCTAGTATAATGCAGATACGGGTGGTTTTTTGTTTTTGTTTTTGTTTTTCATTAAAGAAATGAGTGCCCACTCTGTAGCAAGCATGATACTAAGTAAAAGTTTCGTATTTATTTCAGCTTCTCCACATATTAGCTGACCTTGAGCAAATGATTTAATCTCCTTGAGCTTCATTTCCTAATGAAAGTATAATGTCTACCTCATAAGTTAGTATAAGGTTTGAATGAAATGATTCATGTACAGCATTTAGCTAAGCCCAAGTGCCTACTAAAGTGCTTTCCATGTAACAGATAATCCCCTAATTAATGGCAAAACCAGAATACCAAGGACACCTGACTTATATTTGATGCCCTTTCCACCATAACCGTTTTTGTTTTTCTAAAAAGTCAGTTATGTTACATTATGTACACTCATATATGACCTTTATATTCCATGTGGTAAAGCAGGTACTCATGTGGTAATTAACCTCATCTGGTCTGAGCCTGACTTCCTGGTTCTATTCATTACATTCCAATTTTTGCATATCCTTTAAACTTCCTTCAGTGGGATGCCTGTTCGTTGTGCCTGCTTGATGCGGACACCAGGTGGCGCCTGGTGTCAGATTTGGAGAGGCAGTTGCCAAGGCAACTGGGCTCTGTGCCAACCTGGGAGACAGGCTGGTTTTCCTCATCTAGGGAAGCTAATCCAGAAGGGAGAGACTTTATGCTGGGTACACTAAACTTCAAAAATTCTCTCCCCCCCCCCCACCATCATTTGGTAAGGAAAGGTATTCTTAATTTTTTAAAAAGTAAACTTCAATTTTACCATAAAATCCACCCCTCACCATGTCCTAATCACACCCAACTACCAAGTAATCCAAAAGATATGGCTTCTTGATGTTCATCCAGGGCCTTCACTGGGAACAGCATTTCTAAAAGGGCCCATTTCTGTGGCAACAGAAGGAAGCACAATATAAGCTCTGGTAGATTAAAACAAACAAACAAACAAACAAAAAAAAGTTACTCATAGGTGAGGAGACTTGGAATGGAGCTGGATTGCAACTTTGAATAAGAAACGCTGACATATTTTATAGAAGCTAAAATGCCATTGATTATAAGTCTCCCCATTGTTTTATTTGTATTAAGAAAGAGAAAAAAAAAAAAAAACCTTGCCAATTATATTAGCTCATTGTGGTGCACCTGAGTGACTCAGTTTGTTAAGCATCTGTCTCTTGGTTTTGGCTCAAGTCAT